ATTAGAATATATTATTTAAATTTTCTCTAGTATCTTCTTGTATTATATAACATATTATTTATTTGGAATTTGTTTTAATTATATTATAAATTTTGTAATTGATTAATTTTTTAAGAATGTTTTTCTCGATCATCTTATTAGCTATCTGTTAGCTTATCATCTAGTTTGCAAAACATAGTCTTACTATAAATTGGGAATTGACTTAAATGACCATCTCCAACACTCAAATTGGTCTCCTAACTATTTCTCTCATAAATTTACCCAAATGTCACAACCTTCGTAATATCCAGATTTGTGATATTAACTAAAAGACCCAAAAAAAAAAAAAAATCAACCCGTTTACTGTTGTAATTGCGGACTTGGCCGCCGCAATTGCAGATTTGTGTTGAATTTGAATTTTTTTTTGCCTTTTAATTAATATTGCGGACCTTGTTAAATTACGGAAGTAGTGACATTTGGATAAATCCGGAAGAGAAATGGTTAAGAGACCAATTTGGGTTTGAGAAATGATCATTTAAGTCGATTTCCTATTAACTAAGATGATAACAATGAGGCCTTTCACTCTATCTATGAGAGCAGTATATGATGGTTTTATAATAAATTATGAACAACTAATAATGGTATAATATGTATTAAATAAAGAAGACATGTTTTGATGTATTTAGTTAATATATGATTGTGCATTTTTAATATGATAAAAATGTAAAATGAAAAATGAAAATGTATGGATATAAAACAAATTAATTTGTAGGTATTTAATAGTATTATTAAATTCAAAAATATTCAATATTAGGCTTAATTCAAAGACGAAACGATATATTATGATGATGTAACTTGTACAAAAAAGAAATGCATTTTAGTTTATATATGGTTATTTATGTTAATATTACAATGGTGTAAAATGAAAAAGTAAGAAATATAAAAAGATAATTCTAAAGTTGAAATTGTAAACCTTAAGAGCTTGTAATTAATTGTACCTCTTACAAATTCAAGATAATTGTAAGCAAAAAGTTGTTATGGCTAAAAAGAAAAATCAATATTGAAAACTCACAAAAAAACTCAAAATATAATACATGGTATATTTTTCTTTTAGATGAAATAAATAAAAATTTGTATACCACAACCACATTTACCATTATCGTTACGTTTAAAAATACAGAAGACGAATAAAATAACAATTACGTTTAAAAATACAGAACACAAATAAAATAATAATTACGTTTAAAAATACAGAACACGAATAAAATAATAATTAAAAAACAAGATTTGAAAATGATAAAGAGCGTTTGGTATGGTGGGCATGTCAAATGTACCTAATAATTTACCAACGCTCATTTCACATTTACTGCAATTTACCTTTTAATGGAGCCCACACCTAACAATAAATCTTTTACTCCTTTCTTTCTTGGATTTCATTACACATTACATTCGATGATAAACAAATCAAGTTTTGAATCTCATTACCATCATCTACATCATACCCTTCACTGCAAATTAAAGCGACGGCCCTGATTGCTAACTCATGATAGCTTTGATTCCAATTCACGGACCCACCACCACCACCACCACCACCACCGCCACAGACTCCTTCCACTCCCACATTTCTTTCTGAGTAACAAAACCTCCCCCTTCTTTGTCTGCCAATTTCTTTTTTTCCCCTTTCTTTTTCTTAGAAAAAATAAATAAAAGAAAAGAAAAACAAACTTGTTTCTGGGTTTTCAAGAACTGAGAAGATCCAAGAAACTTTGTGGGGTTTTGATGAGACTGTGTTAAAGATCGGAGCGGCAGAAAAAGGGTTGAGCAGAATGGTGGGGACGGCTAATGGTAGCAGAACACCAGTCACACCACGGCAAGCTTTTTCGGTTGTCAATGGCGGCCAAGATCCGGTTTTGCGGAGTGGACCAGGTAGCATTGCTGGTTCGGATTGTGGAGGGATTGAGTTCACAAGAGAAGAGGTTGAAGCATTGTTGAATGTCAAGATCAGAACCAAGGATAAATTCAATCTCAAGGTTGTTCTAGTTCGTCTACGTTTCTGTAACGACTTGTCTTTTGCATCATATTGTAATGTTAATTTTGTGGCTTCTTTTTCTTCAGGAAAAATGCGAGATGATGATGGACTATATAAAAAAACTTCGGATGTGTGTAAGATGGTTCCAAGAATTTGAAGGGGAGCTTTCTTTCGAGCACGAGAAGCTTAAAAAGCTGTTTGAATCAGCAGAAAAGAAATCCAATGACATGGGTAAGTAAATAATATAGATTCAATCTTTGTATTTAATTTTCCCCAATTTGATTCATGTAATTGCTGATAAAGATGGGTTATTGAATTGATATCTAGAAATGCTCATGAATGCGAAGGAAGAAGAACTGAACTCAATAATAGTGGAGTTGCGAAAGAATTACTCCCTTTTACAAGAGAAATTCATGAAAGAAGAAACTGATAAGTTGGTATGATTGGAATCAAGCATCTTCTGGTAACTTGAGAGAGTTATTAAGGTGTTGATGGTTGATCTTGATTTCAGGCTGCAATTGAAACATTAATGAAAGAAAAGGATGCAAGAATGTCTGCTGAGAGATCACTAGCCTCCCTCAAGGAAGATCTTGAAAAAGCTGTCAGAGAGAGTTCCAGTGCTAATCAGAAGGTGGATCTAAATCCAACAAATTCTGATATCATTTTTCTATCTGTTTTATGTGTAATAGAGGAATCTAACATGGATTTGTTCCAGATATTATCAATCAATGATATGTACAAGAGGTTGCAGGAGTACAACACAAGCTTACAACAATACAACAGTAAGCTCCAGACGGAACTTAATCAAACTAGTGATACCCTTAAGACTGTGGAGCGAGAGAAGGCTGCTTTAACGGAAAATCTCAGTAAGTTGAGAGGCTACCATGCTTCTCAGCAGGATCAGTTGGCATCTACCAAAGTCAGTCTTTCAATTCTCGTGTACGAAAATTTGTAGTCTTTTGCTTATCTTGGCTGAACTTTTGAATGATGGTTTGTAGGCAAGTCTAGAAGAGTCAATGAAGCTAAAAGAAGCTTTATCTAGCGAAGTTGGATGTTTGAGAGGGGATTTGCATCAAGTGAGAGAAGATCGTGATCGCCAACTTTTACTAGTGCAAGATTTAACAGCAGAAGTGTTGCAATATAAGGAGTGTACCGGAAAGTCGGCAGCTGAGTTGGGCGACCTAACGTCAAAATCAATTCAGCTCGAGGTTATTAGACAATCATCATCTTCTTTAATATATATCTCATATAACTTGTGCTATACTTATCCTTGGTGTCTCTTTTAGGCTACATGTACTTTGCAAAGTGACACAATAAGAAGACTGCAGGAGCAGCTTGCTATTGCAGAGAAGAAATTGGAGGTATGATTGGCTTGTGGGAACGATTTTGTTTTATAGATTTGTTGATCTGATTTTAGACTAATATTTGAATTTTTTTTCATAGATATCTGATTTATCATCGTTGGAGACAAGAACGGGATACGAAGAACAGAAGAGACTTAATTCTGAGTTACAAATTCGTGTGGATGAGGCAGAACTGAAAGTGGTTGAAGGAGAAGCCCTACGGAAAAAGTTGCATAATACAATATTGGTATGTCCGTTCTTTTTCTTTTCCTACTTTATAAACATATCATTACTACCATACAACTCTTACCAATGAAGTATTTTTGCGACAGGAACTAAAAGGAAACATTCGAGTTTTCTGCAGAGTCCGGCCCCTCTTGTTGGATGAAGGTGTTGATAATGAAACAAAGATTGTATCTTTTCCTACAACGACTGAAACTGTTGGTCGTGGCATTGAATTGGTACAACATGGTATATATCTTACTTGAAATTGGTTCGCATACTTGCTTTCTTTATCATGTCATAGTCTCTTATATCTATCCCTATTTGTGGAAAAAGATTGGTGAAAACTAAGATTTCTTTATCATGTATTTGGCTCTTATGTTGCTACTGTTTTCTCTTATGGAAAAGGGCAAAGCCATCCTTTTATGTTTGACAAGGTATTTACGCCCCAATCATCACAAGAAGAGGTGTTTGTAGAGATATCTCAGCTTGTACAAAGTGCACTCGATGGTTATAAGGTGATTGCATTTTTTCCCATTGTATTTCAACCTTTTTTTCTCCTCAATTTATTTCAACATTCCAAAAATTTAGGTATCCTTTTAAGTCTTTTTTGGGTTTCATTACTAATTTAACACCAACAGTTTTTATTCCAAGTATTCAATGTAAGACTTAAGTAGGATTATTGACTATATGGACCATCACACTTGGTGTTTCATTACAAACAAACCATCGCTTGTAAAAGTGCAAAAACACATTACCCTTTGCAAGAATGAGCGATTTTATACAAAAAGTTGCAAAATACATGGTTCTTTTTGCATTTACATATTCATAAACTGTAGGTTTAGTTTGCAACAATTACCAAGGAGGATGGTTCCATAAGTCCATGACTAAAATTTAATGAAACTGAAATGACCTCTTTGTCAAATGCAAAGCAAATATCTTATTAATCACAGTTAATTACTTGTGTAGGTTTGCATCTTTGCATATGGTCAAACAGGATCTGGCAAGACACATACGATGATGGGCACGCCAGGAAGCTATGACGAGAAAGGACTAATACCCCGTTCTTTGGAACAAATATTTGAGTCTCGACAAAAGCTTTTAGACCAAGGGTGGAAGTACGAAATGCAGGTTCGCAATTGACTCTCATCTGTTCTTTTTGGATCCTGGTATGTTTTTTGAACAACTGTTGTACATTTACTTTGTAGGTCTCAATGCTGGAGATATACAATGAGAATATTCGTGATTTGTTGGCGTCAAACAGATCTTGTTCCACAGATAGTGGTAGTAAGCAGCAGTATGCAATAAAACATGATGCGAGTGGCAACACCCATGTTTCGGATTTGACTATTGTGGATGTTCGTAGCAGTCGAGAAGTTTCATTTTTGTTAAACCGAGCTGCACAAAGCAGGTATATAGATATTAAAAAGGGAAGTACATTTTGTTTAAGAATATAGATGCTAAAATGGTTTGTTTGAAATATAGGTCTGTGGGTAAGACTCAAATGAATGAGCAGTCGTCAAGAAGTCACTTTGTCTTCACTTTGAGGATATCAGGTGTTAATGAGGTAAGGATGGTTTCTGGCTTTTGGATGCTTGTATACTGAAATACAGTTGCTGATGTGGTTTACTTTTTAGAGCATGGAGCAACATGTACAAGGTGTTCTCAACCTTATCGACCTTGCTGGCAGTGAACGTCTTTCCAAAAGTGGTTCCACGGGGGATCGGCTAAAAGAAACTCAGGTATGTCTGTTGAACAACGACAATAAACTTGTTTATTGGAAAAGAATGATTTTGATTGAAATATTTTGTATCAGGCCATCAACAAGAGTTTGTCATCATTAAGTGATGTTATATTTGCACTGGCAAAGAAGGAAGAGCATATACCTTTCAGGAACTCAAAGCTTACATATCTTCTCCAGGTATATGTATATATGTATATATTCTATATTAAATTTATGGGTTTGAAACTTGGTGGTGATGATGATCTCATGTTGTATGGTGAAAACCAGCCTTGTTTAGGTGGTGATTCGAAGACGCTAATGGTGGTAAATGTTTCTCCGGCACCATCCTCAGTGAATGAGTCGCTTTGTTCTCTTCGGTTTGCTGCAAGAGTAAATGCTTGTGAGATCAGCATCCCTCGACGCCAAACCTCCATGAGATATTTGGAGCCACGACTGAGCTATGGATAACTCTCTTATTGTAGTACTTGGATTCGTAATTATCATTAACTTTGTAAGTTCTAACTGTAATGTGCATGTATAGGAGAAAGAAAGAATACATGGGTGGTTTGTAACAATGATAGCTAGCTGTAGCTTTGTACTTCTTCTTGTTGTTGATTTGATGAGACTCGATAGTCGATGATATTCGTTTCATAATTCATTCATTGATGTGTCCTTTTTGTAATAAGACATGAAAAATGTGAAGAAAATAATAAGGAAAGAAAAAAACAGAAGCAATATATATATATATATATATATATATATATATATATTAGGAGTGGTTTAAAGAAAAATATAAAGATTTTACCACCCATCATCAATTCATCATCTTGGTGTGGAAGTAGTAGTTAAAGAAGTAAAAGATTTTAATTTTATGTAATCTTGGAATGAGTTTGAACCCTAAAACATGTGTGTGTTGATAGTAGGGTGCTGGGTGACGCAGAACCACTCTCCATAGTGGACGAATAATAAAATCAAATCCAAACATCAACCAATTATTCCCATGTTTCGATTCTCCATTCTCTTTTCTTGAAGAATAACAAACCCACTTTCCTTCCCTTTCATCTCCATTTTCTCTATCCTTTCTTTCTTTCCTTACACAATGGTTTCTCCAGAGAACACCAATTGGATCTACGAGTATGGATTGATTGAAGATATTCAAGTACCTGATGCTAATTTCACCCTTCCTGCTTCTGGATTTACCTGGCCTGTCCAACCCACCTTCAATGGTTCATCATCCAACCCTAGGTACTCTTCATTTCCTCAATTCTTTTGAAATTTCATGTATGGTATCGATCAGGAATCGAAGTGTTTTGGTAGAGTGATTACAATCATAGGCCTCTAGGGTGGGCTTATAGATTGCTCACTCTTACTTTAGCAGACTCCTGCAAGTCTCTTTTCTAGTTTACCCTAATTATATTCCAATGGAGTTGTTTTTATAGATTGCTAGAAAACCTTGATAATCTTTCACTACTTTGGAATTGGTAGGTGGTAGAGCTTTAATGGCGTTGACCAAATGTCTACTCTTGCAAGACCCTCATTGTTTCCATTAACTTGGCTTCTTTTGATTGGTATATGCAATTTATGAACAGATTGATGTTCCTCAGCGTGATCCACTCCATGTGGAGTTTGTAGATCACCCAACTCTGTTTGTATAAATGTTCTTATCAAGTCTCAGCTACTTTAAACAGGAAATATAAATGGCTATTGATTGGGTATAAAAACTCATATCAATTTTCTACATGTGAAGCCTAGATTGGCAGTCCGTTTGACGTAGTTCCTTGGCATTACCTCAGAAAACCAAACCAGCCCTTAAATCCCACACAGACTAGTGTTGGATGAAGATAGGATGTATGCAAACCTTAGCTCTACTCCCAAGAAGTAGAGAGACTGTTTCTGTGATCACGGCATTACCTCAGCTTAATTGTAATTTTTCTGCTAATTCAGCTGTGCTACAATGTCCTTTTCTATAGTTAGTACAGTTTTCTAGCCCAAGGGAGCTCCTTACATGATAAGTATGCTAATTTGTGATGCACCAATCGAATATGCATATCTATTTCTATCTTTTCCTCTTTCAACTTTCACATTCCTGCTCTGATTTGTTTCTAGTGCGGAACTCGATGGCTCAATTGTGGATTCAGATGGACACAATGATTCTAGATCAAAAAAGCGGTAACTATTTCTTCCTTCTTAAGTTTCTACCTCGAAGAGTAGAGCCGCTAAACTGGTATTTTCTTAGTGATGGCCAATTGGGTCGAACTTTCACCTTTAGATAAGATGTGCCACATTTCTTTCGGTTTTTGAGCCTGACGTTGCTGGTTGGCTTGTGTACAACAGGGGAAGACCTGATTCTTGCAGTGGTACAAGTAGCAAAGCATGCCGAGAAAAATTGAGGAGGGATAAGCTAAACGACAAGTATGCCATTTTCTCTCTTAGGTCTTATCTCTCATATATGTTAGCACTTATGGACTGACGACTACCTTTTAGGTTTGTTGAATTGGCTTCAATTCTTGAGCCTGGGAGGCCCCCTAAAATTGATAAGGCTGCTATTTTAGTTGATGCTGTTCGAATGGTGACTCAATTACGACGAGAAGCCCAGAAGCTGAAAGATTCTAGTTTAGATCTTCAGGAGAAAATTAAGGAGCTGAAGGTGATCCTTTGACCCCTTCCAATTCCATTCAACAATTCCTTCGTCAGTGTTTCTTATGTTTTTCATTTTTGTAGGCTGAGAAGAATGAACTTCGGGATGAGAAGCAAAGGCTGAAGATGGAGAAGGACAAGCTTGAGCAACAAGCAAACACAATGAATGCACAACCTAGCTTCATGGCTCCTCCACCTGCTGCTGCATTTGCACGAAGCCAAGCAGTCGGCAATAAGTTGGTTCCAGTGATCAGTTACCCAGGAATGGCCATGTGGCAGTTCATGCCACCTGCTGCCGTCGACACCTCACAAGATCATGTGCTCCACCCTCCAGTCGCCTAATCCGTTGCAGTTTGTCATTCATGTATGACACACTGTATTAGGTTTCTGTTTGTATAAACATATATGATGCTATTATTATACTCTCCATGTGCTATTTTTATCAAGTTGTTAAATTAACTGTTAATGGGTTTGTGACTTCATTACTCGATTCCTATTGGATCATGTGAAAGCATGGATCTTGATCATGCTAATCAAACAAACCAATAAAATCGTTCCCACCTTGACCTGCCACCCAAGCTTGCTGTCACTCTGATCTCTGCCATTTTTTTTTCTTTTCCCAATTTTCAAAGAGAAAAGGTCAATTTTCAGCTTTCCAGAAACGTGAGAACCATACTGTTTGTTCCCATTGGTGAGCCATTGTCCTGTCATCATCCTCTTATGCTTGGTTCCTCCTTTGAAACACAAGAAAGTAAAAGTGGTTGCATATTGATATCTGTTTTCACAACTTGCATTCCAACTGTTTGATGATATTCACCTTTAAAAGAAAAAGACACTAAAGAGAAAATGCCAAGACTATGTATGGCCTGATGATCTATGCTAGCAGAAGTTGGTTGGAACTCACCACAAATCTTGGTTGACATTGACTAGTGTACATGAGGAAAAGCCAAGGGCCTAATAAATGAAAAAGAATCCATCATCGAAGCAACAAAATGCAAAAGCTAATGAATATAATACACATACCAAAAAGATTGAAATTGGTGGTCCTTGCCCTTGTTAAGATGCTGTAATGTGACAGGACTTGATGAACTTATCCGAGAAGTTGATGTACTTGGTCCATAGCCTTCGAAGCTTTGGAAATGCTATATCTAGCCAAGGTTTTGCTCGCCCATTGAAATGTAGGACAGCGGCACGTTCGATGTCTGCTACGCTTGTATTCTCTTGGTATCCGAGGCCCAACATGTGCCAAAATGGATCGATAACATGCACTTCACCATGGAAAGCTATCAAACCTGGAGGTAATGTTCCTAGCTGCCACAAACTTAGATCTGATTTCAAGTTCTGCATCAGAAATTAAGAAAGAGTCAAACCTTGTGTGTGTTTCGTGTAGTGTGTTAATGTGTGTGAGTTATAGAATCACTGACCTCTTGAACCCAATAATGGTAATTTTGGGTTATGTTTGTCTTTCTCCAAGCTTGAAGATCAAATATGTTCATCCCATAGGCCCAAGCACATTCATTTGCATCAAAATTCTTTGATATCAAGGGATGAGAAAAGTTCAAGTAGCTCTTGAACCGCTTTGACATTACAAACTTATCACCGCCTCTACATGTTTCAACAGCTCCATTCACTTTTCCCTTCATGTCAATCTCCCACAGAGGTGATAGATCAGATTGAACCACAAGGTCATCGTCTAGGAACACCACCTTCTTAAGACTTGGAAACATCTGCACACATCGATCACCATCAATTGGTGATTCCATTTATATGAATTCTTAATTAATTTCTTGTGCTAAAGATTATTCATCCACCTGAGGCAGATAAATTCGAACGTGGTTCATAAGTGAGTTGTATTTGGGACTCATGGCTTGCAACTTTGCAGCAATGACATTAGGTTTTTCGGTGTTATTAGCCACAATGGCTGATGACCCGCCTCTAAACCCAGCACGAACCCTTTGATCTTTCTCCATGGCCTCCAAAACTGGGACCTTTCCATTTGCAAACCAATCAAAATGGTGCAATGCTTTGAGATCGATCACCGCAGGTGCCAAAGGGTGCAATGAGAACCATGCCTGCATAGGAGAGTAAGTCTTTCTATCTGTGATAATGTGAATGACCACCATTTGAGGTCGTAACGCGTTGTAAACTAGAGATGTTGCTACAACGGATGCTGCAAGGATGTTATCCGATGCAAGAACAAAGTGGAAGTAGCAGTTGTCAACAAGGGCGGGAACAAGCTCAGGCAAGGGGAGCTGGAGGCGAGCATCAGCATTAGTGGCGTGCTCGTGGGCTAACCGCAGGGCAAGGCAGTGGAGCTGTTTTGGTATGCCAGTTGAAGCAACGTGCCGGTACAGGTATTCTTTGATTTTTGCAGTCCTACTCCTCTGTTCAAGAAGTGTAACCTAAGAAAACAAATCAAATTCTTATTATATCTTATGATACATATTGGATTAATACATGCGTACATACATACATACATATCCATACCATGGATTTAAGCTTGGTGGCAAAGGTCTTTGCATCTGGTCTGTTGCTGCCTTTCATACTAGTAACAAATTCTTCCAAAGTTTGAGGAATGTCTATTATCTCATCTTGGCTGGATGGGTCCTCCAAGATTTGATATATTACTTGTGGGACCTTTCAGAAACCAAATTAAGAATTTAGCCTCATAATTCATATAAGAAACATGTACAAAGATGCATAGGTTGTTGTTTGGTATATTACAGCTGAAGCCGATTGAAGGTTCCTGCCCCCTAATAACTTGGGCGATAGTTTTTCCCCCAAACAACCTGCCAAGTATATGCGAAGAAATCAAACACTAGGTAGCTAGTAACATCTTAAATATATATATATATATATATATATATATGTTGTATACGGGTATGTTCTCTAAAGAGATTGGAAGGAGAAAAAAAGTTGGATACATACCAACGATAGAGCATTTGGTGTGATCATGAACGGTGTCAACAGTAGTTAAGACGTAGATGAATCGAAGGAGGAATGTGAATAACAAAAGGGAATAGAAAAGCATCTTGTAAGATAACCTTCGAGAGCCGACCTTAAGTTGTATCAACTCCCTCACACCTTTCCCAGGAAGCAAGGTAACATGTCGTAAACTTGGAGATATATGTAATTGCATTTTCACCAAAACAAGAAACCGAAACCCAAGCCGTTGAAAACAGATATATACACGGGTTACTGGTTTGGGTGATACTAGAAATATTTATGCAAAAGGGAATGGTAGATTGGGAAGATGCATGGTGAAATGGCTTATAGTTATATTCAATGCTGTTGAGGTTTTCCCATCTTGTACCAAACCTTTACCTTGCTTAAGTTGTAGTGTTTATTTTTCCTTCATGTTTTCAATTAACTGTTTATCATTGATTTTTTTTTTTTCACATTGATTCAAGTCCAAGAATATGTATATATGGAAAATGATTTTCATTATATGCCGAGTTTGATGTCATCTTTTGTTATCTAATACCACTTATGTAAGACAGAATTTTATTGTACGTGACAAAATAAACTAAACGTAGAGGGTGAAAATGTAAATACAGAATAGAAAAAGAGTTTGGTGATGGTTTGTTTGGCTTTAAAGTTAAATTGGCTCAACTAAAAGTAACACATAGGAAAATGATGTGTTGACCTCCAAATTCTAATTAAATTAGGCTACATTTCTTGTTCATCTTCTTTTTTCATTTCTCTAAAATGGATGGCTACCTAGAAAGAAAACATACTTGAATAAGATGAGTGTGAAAGCAGGCCACGTATGTGGTTTCTTCATCCCTTCTAAAATGCTCAAAGTTTTCAAGCACCAGTGGTGATGTATTCTTTATATTAGCAGGATGCCTGTAACTTCTGATACTTGTTTGATTTTCATCTCCATGGCCGTTTCTGTTTACCAATTTACTCTTTTCACTACAAATGAGAAAACAAGAATATCACTACTTGTTAACCTCTGATGGTTGGAAGAAAACCTTTCAATTCAATTCAATTCAATTCCTGGTCGCTAGTCTTTCTCCGTTTGTATCATTGTCTTTTTGTTTTTGCTGATGAAAAGAATGAGAAACCACTTAAAAGTAAGCAAGTGCTTGACAACATGTGTTTCTGTCAAGCTCCATAAGTTCATCTTTTACCCTTTTGAAATGGTTAAACTTAAAATGCCTCTCATGAGACTTGAGTCTCCATTGCATCGGGTTAGAGATATTGATTCAAACAACCTTATTTAAGAGGTCAATCAACAGGTGTAGTACAATATATCTCTTGGAAAGGTAGGGGCCTGATTGCTGTGAGTTACAGTAGCAATCATTCTTAACATCTGAGATTTTATTCTTTCACATCCAAGTTTTTTGCATACTGAATTCTAGTTATTCATGTCTCATTCGGTATTAAGCTCAATGAGGTGGTCCAAGTTCTTGTGGCGTGGTAAAGTTGACTTAAACACGTATCAGATGCAGGTTCATAAAATTCAAAACTTTTCAAAGGGTTTGAGCTTTGCATGCATCTATTTTAATTTGAGTGCCCAACTTGTAGGATTGTTGCTACAATTCTTGCAAGAAAGGGTTATAAATCCTCATATAAGCCAAAATGATATCAGACTATAACTAAAGTAGCATAAATTATAGCTAATAAACCAAAATTAAGATACAAGAAATATTCCCTACAAAAATGAGGATCCAAGTATATTTATTAAAAGAAAATACATTTTTTTTTAATATTACTATTATTTTGTAAATTAAATACATTCATTAAGATATCCGAATCCATAAACACAAACAAAATGGCTACTTGCTGAAGGTGAAGTTTCTCTACATTATGCATGCATTTACTTGTATTGATTTCATTCTAGATATGTTGAGGTGAATGAGGAACTAGGGTTTAAGTTTTCGATCTTCAATGGATTGGTATGCAGCGTTAGGGTTTATGGGTGCATGTTCCTTGTTATTATACACAAGTTTTTTTTGTCCCTAGAATTGAATAAGCAATGCTACGTTGACGTTGATGATAGTCATCATCCACCAAGTTTACAGTATTTTAAATATAATTATTACTAGATATTGGAAATTTTGGATGTTCCAAAGTTCATCAAGTTCCCTAGGACTTTCTGGGGATGGAATTAAGGCAATGTTTTGTTTTTAGAATGAGAACAATTCATGTTGGTGGAAGGACATGTAGCCTCTCTTTTTTTCTTTTTAACTTTATTGATACCAAACAATAGAACCACGTTTTCATCACCCTCTTTTTCTCTTTATAAGAGCTTGGATTGCTGACCACAGATTAACCCTTCATCCCCCTTTCTTACCATGGAAGCTCTTGGTTCTACTGTCATTGATGGCGCTAAAACGTTTCTTGAGTCCGCTTATTCAAGGATTAAGACCTTTTCCAAACGTGAAGAAAACATTCGCCAACTCCGTCAACACATTACAGAGCTCACCATCAAAAAGATGTCCATTCAAGAAGACGTAACCTTGGCCAAACTAGAAGGAAAAACTCCAAAAGACCAAGTAAATGAATGGCTCAAGAAGGTTTCCAAAGTTGAAGATGATGTACGGCCATTGTTAGAGATGCCTGATCAACATGCTGATGGTGGTAGGGGATCCAATATGGTGCACAGGTACCTACAATGTTGGACAGTGGCAAAGAAACTCGATCTAGTGGAAGAGCTTAATTCTACTTATTTTGAAACTGTCGCCCCTGAAAGACACTCTCCCATTAAAGCAGTTGAGGAAATCTCGGTGCCACCCCTCGTGGGGAAGAGGGCAACATCAAATATGAAACAGCTTTTGGAAATCTTGAACAGGACCGATATCCGGAGGATTGCGGTCTGGGGCAAGGGTGGCATAGGGAAGACGATATTGGTCAAGAACTTGAGCAATCTGCTCTACTTTTCCTCTCCAAATTCTTTTGATATTGTCATATGGGTTCAAGTGTCCAGGGAATTGGATTTGAGCACAATTCAGTCTCAGATTGCTAAGAGAATTCATTTAAAAGTGGAAGCAGGAGACACCACTCACAATATAGCTATTAGAATTCTTCGAAGATTGAAGCTGAGAAGGAAGATCCTATTGATCCTTGATGATGTATGGGAAAAGATCGACTTGGATGCTATGGGTATTCCATCAAGGGACCCCTGCTGTAAGGTTCTTTTAACCACTCGATCTCGTGATGTGTGCAGGGACATGGCCGTCGATGTTTCTTTTCCAATGAATCTTATGAATGAAGAAGATGCTTGGGATCTCTTTAATGAGAGTGCTGGACCTATCATTGGTCCGGATGGGAGAGAATCTCCAGCAAGGAAAATTGTCGCAGATTGCCACGGACTTCCGTTGGCAATCAAGACTCTTGGAAAGTTCATGAGGGACAGGCCACAGATCGAGTTGTGGCGTAATACAGCTCTTTGGCGGCAGTGCTCGTCGCCCTTGTTCAAGAACATTGAGAAAGAGGTCTTTCGGCCTCTTGAAATGAGTTATCATTACTTACCAAGTAAGATTCTTAAGCAATGTTTTTTGTATTGTTCTTTGTACCCAGCAAGCTTCTCAATAGATGTTGCTGAACTAATCCAATGTTGGGTGTCTGATGGCCTAATCAATGAGAACCAAAGTATGGCGGAAGCATTCAATTACGGGGTTGCTTTGGTTGAACACCTGAAGGATTCGTGCCTACTTGATCAAGATGGTTCAAGGGGAACTGTGAAGATGCATGACATTTTCCATGATTCTGCCATACGTCTGTCTGAGAGAGAGGAACTATATGGATTTCACTGTCAATCTGGGGTTCCATTTCATCAGATGCCAAAGGAGTCCTCTAGGAGGTTTTCTTTGATGGGCTGCAGGATCGAAAAGTTGCAAGCATTTCCTGTATGTTCCCAGTTGACTGTCTTGCTTCTCCAAGGTAATCCTATAAAAAGAATCCCAGACGACTTCTTTCAGAATGTCAAGTCACTGAGGGTACTGAATTTAAGCAACACACGAATTACTGCTTTGCCACCATCTTTTCTTTGCTTGGGCGAATTGCGTGCTCTCTTTCTCAGAGGTTGTAATTTAATGAAGCTACCGTCTCTTAAAGCTCTTGGCAAACTGTTGGTTCTTGACCTTTCTAGCACCCTAATAAGAGAACTTCCTAGAGGGTTAGGAAGTTTATCTAGTTTGAGAGAATTAAACTTGTCATGCACACACTTCCTAGAGAAAGCCATAGCTGGAAGCATATTAGGGTTATCAAGTCTTGAGACTCTAGATGTGTCTTTCAGTGCTTATAATTGGAACATGAAGACGGGTGCTGACCAAAGAGCAAGGTTTGATGAGTTATTATCGTTGGACCACCTCTCAGTCCTTAGGATAAGGTTGGATTCCGTAGAGCGTCTTGCATCTACAGTCGCATCTTCTTGGCTGAAGAAATTAACAAGGTATGATATCCATATCAGTCCAAGAAGTTTTGACTCAAACTATCATGTAGCCCAACACAATGAGAAAAGGTTGGTTCTTAGAGGAGTTGACCTTCTGCAAGAAGACCTTCGGGATGTTTTATACAACACAAGTTCCCTAGACATGTTAACGTGTGTAGGCATGACCCAAAGACACTGGCTTAGCCTCTCATCTTTGATATCACTCACTATATCAAACTGTGACGATATAACATGTTTGATAAACAAGGAAAGTAGTTCCCAGGTAATGTTTCCAAATCTGCAGCACTTGGTTCTGGATCATTTGAAAAATTTAGTGACTACTGTCGAGTCTATACTCCCAAGAGGCAAATGCCTTAGCAATCTGAAGACCATTCATGTTTTGGATTGCCCAATGTTAAGAGGAGCCATCTCATATGCGATGCTTCGTCATGTTGGAAAGCTTGAAGAAATCAAGGTAAGTGGTTGTGAAAATATGTGTCGAATCATCGAATCAGGGGGGCATGCCAAAACTCTTGCGGTTTTGAGGGTCATAAATATAAGCAACATGGTGAATTTGACAAGCATATGTGATGGTACATCAGTTTGTCCAGTGTTGGAACAGATTGAAGTTTCTGGTTGCTGGGGGTTGAAGAAACTTCCTCTTTCAATCTCAAGTTCATGTAGCCTGAAGGAGATTAGAGGGGATATCGAGTGGTGGAACAATTTAACATGGGAAAATGATGTTGTCAAGAGATACTTTGAACAACACTTTCAAGCATGCCCCAGGGAGGAGAACTGCTCAAGAAAGAGAAAATATAAGAACACAAGTTAAAAGCAATTGTGATTTCTGGATTTGCTATTTGTCCATCTCCCTTTTTAAACTCTGCTGTATATCTCTATCCATGATGATAACATTTACCAAAGTATCAATAAAGTAGACTTGTTTAATTATATACAATATCTTGAGGTTAAAGTATTGTCATAACAAACTCATGCTCGCTTACAAACAATTCATTATATATTCTTATGTTATAAATAAAACAAACGCTCTTAATACTCAAACGTCTGAAAAAACCAGACTTCAAAGGTATTAAGAGTTCATCTTCTTCGTCAAATTCGACATAGTTGGGTTTCTTATCTCAATTAGGACAATCGTATTGGAAGTGTCCCAATCGGTGACAATAATAGCATTCAACTGTAGCTTTATTGATGAATCTTCTTCTGCCTCCTCTTTCGTCATAAATGATCTTCAACACTTGGTCCTCGACTCGTATTGTATTCTTCTTAAACCTGTGCTCATGCACAAACAAAGAGTTTTGCAGAGCATCGACAGTGAGAGTATCGATATCCTTGATGGAACAAACAACGAAAAACGTTGGTCTTTAAATAGCGAGACAACCTACGGAAGCAATAAAACGAGTAACACAAAAAAAATAGTAATTCAAAACCCAACAAACATGAATACAAGAGTAAGAGTAAAAAGGTAGGAATGAATAATAAGAAGGTGATAGTAATAATGATGATCTGATTTAGGATGAAACAAAAGGTTAGACTCCCGAGAGACCACAACAACATCTCAAATACCAGCTGCTGACGACACCTCCGAGATCCCCTAGGCCATCATCAACCTCCCTTTCCCTTTCCCTTTCCCTTTCCCTTTCCTCACCGGCGGTTATTTTTTCTATATCTCCGGTGGCCTCCACCGGTACTTCTTTTTCTAGAATAACATGGAATCCATACTCGCCAGGGCGTTGGAGTATACTCTCAAGTACTGGCTTAAATCTTTCACCAGAGATCAGTTCAAGCTACAAGGACGCACTGTTCAGCTCTCCAATCTAGGTTACCATTCACCTACTTGCTTCATTTTCACGCATATAGATCCCACAATTCGGTATTTCTTATTACTACTTTTTGCTACTTCGATCCAAGAATTCGCTACTGTATTACTAGATTTACTACTTCCATCCAACCATTTGACTCACGGATTTCAATTTGGCAGATATAAACGGTGATGCGTTGCACGCAAGTCTTGGATTGCCGCCGGCATTGAATGTTACCACCGCCAAAGTCGGCAAGTTAGAGATTATTGTACGTCAACTTATATTCGATAATTTACCATCTGAATTTCTCTCATAGGATTGATGTCGTCTGCTAGATTTAATTTCTATGCACACACATACATATATCTACTCTGATTTGATGACTGTGTTTCGAAGCTCCCTTATTTGAGCAATGTACAAGTCGAGCCCATTGTTGTGCAAATCGATAAGCTTGATTTGGTATTGGAGGAAAATGACGATTTGGATGCATATAAGGCCACAGACAGGTATTCTATATATTTGATGCCAACACATGATCTTGACAGTAAATAAATCGTTTAGAGTACCACTACAATTTCTCAACTTACTATTCTCCATGTTTATTTCTTCAAGTGCACAGACGCCATCCAGTCCTGCAAAAAGCAGTGGATATGGATTTGCTGACAAGGTTAGCCTCTTCCTATGGCGCAGTCTTCAACTCTTTACTGGGGTTGCTGGCCAAATCTCTTTTGTTTCTGGACCATTTTTGTTGGGAAATTATAGCTGTAAGACACTATAAGCATGGACTCTGAACAAAGGCTTGCATAGGATATTCAGTGCTTAGTGTTGGGGAAGATATTATTCATCTGCTCCTGAAATGGATGATGCAAAAATACACTGGGGAAAATATGTCACCTCAAAGGAGCAATTTGAGTGTGTCAGTCATTTTCAGTCTACAACACTTAAGCAGTTAAGTGACCTATTGTAAAAGTAAATGATTTTCTAGTTGCATGGAGCAGCTCGAAATATTGTAAGGTTGAGAACATTACTATTTGAGAACCAGTTGATAAAAACTTGCAACCACTATTTCATGAAGCTTACATTTTAATTTCCAACATAGTAAAGTAGGCTTCCTTTTCAAATATGTGAGTAGTTTGTTTGCACAGGTCAGTCTTGCAATGGTAGGAAGCTACATTCTTCTAGTGCCTTTGTACTTTCTTACTGCAATATTGAAGGCTGTCACGACTTCTTTCATCATCTATGAGCTTTGGGAGTCTCCTGTTCATTTGCATCCACGATTGAATTTTGTACTTAACATCATGGTTCATGAGTTTTGGTGATAGGTGTAAGCTGGGTTTTGTTTGTGTAGGGTCCTGGTCTAGTCACTTGCAATTAATTACTATGATTGTAGCTTTTAACTATTTCATTAAGACTTCTATGGATTCCAGCACTGACAATATATTATTATCAGATTGCAGATGGAATGACATTAGAAGTACGTACTGTCAATCTTTTACTTGAGACTCATGGGGGTGCTAGACGATGCGGAGGAGCAACTTGGTACATTCTGACTCAGCTCTCTTCAGCCTAATATGCCTCTATGATAATCTACCATTCTACCATCTGCTCTTAGCACTTGGGATCCCAATACATACAGTCCTCTCTCTGGTCTGAGAATATTTGCTTGGCTCTATTGCTTACACATTGTCACATGTTCCTCTGTATATGTGTTTTTGTTGACCAGGGCATCACCAATGGCATCTATTACTATCCGCAACCTCTTGCTTTATACCACAAATGAGAATTGGCAGGTTATGTTATAAACATGCACTCAGTTTAAGGCATTTCTCTTTGTTTTTGGTTAATTTCTTGATGATTAATTGGAGGTACCCTGTAGCAGGTTGTAAACCTTAAGGAAGCAAGGGACTTCTCAAATGACAAGAAGTTCATCTATGTGTTCAAAGTAATTTTTCCTTGTTACCTTCTTTTCAAATTGTTCTTTTATTGTTTTTGATAGGTTAGGTTATGTTCTTCTTAGTACATGTCTGGTGTTATGAAAGCCTAGTTCTCAATATAAACGGATCATGCATCCATACCGCTACCATCTAGTTAGTTGTAGGTATGGTGCTCCATGTTCCATATGGTAATACAAGACTCTCGGCCCTTTTTGCAATTTGATGTCTTGTGACCCAATATGGCAATATCATCTATCCTTGCATTTGCCTTGTGCCTCCTGCATGCAGCAAGCATCGCAGAATGCCCATCAGGTAACTGAAGGCTTACTTAGAACAATGAAGGATATTGACTGTGGATTGATGTCCAAGCTCTGGAATTGCCAATTACATGGTCCCCTTACTGCTATCTTGGAAGTTTTTGATAGTGATTGTGTTTTCTAGTTTTTACCTTTCATGCTGCTCTTGATTTCACTACATGTTACTTATAATACTTATTTTTTGGTCACCAGAAGCTTGAATGGGAGCATCTATCCATCGACCTCCTGCCTCACCCTGATATGTTTGCAGCATTTTCTGAAGGTGCATTTAAGGATGATGATGGTGCAAAGAGGGTATTCTTTGGTGGGGAGCGCTTCCTTGAAGGAATATCTGGAGAAGCTTATGTAATACAAACTTAATCCTCTTAATTGATTGTCTATGAACTTCGGTGTAGCTTTAAGGATGTTCTCTTTCCGGGAATGATCATCTAAATTGCATATGCCTACCCTTTGATTCTATAATCAGATTACCATACAAAGGACAGAGCTTAATAGTCCACTAGGGTTGGAACTCCGGTTACATATAACTGAAGCCGTGTGCCCAGCTTTGAGTGAACCAGGTCAGTATGGTTCCCTGTTTGTGATACATTGCTAATCTGTTACTGTGTTTTGAACCGTCTGGCATTACAATAATATAATGTGAGCAGGGCTTCGAGCTCTTCTTCGCTTCTTTACTGGATTGTATGTCTGTCTGAATAGAGGAGATGTGAATCCAAATTCTCAAGAGGTTGGATTTCTTTTTCATTGTTGTTATCTAGTTTGCAAATTGTTTAGAGCACTATTATATGAGATGGCTATAAGGAACTCCCTCTTCTGGCAGCGATCAGCGGAAGCTGCAGGGCGTACACTAGTCTCCATTATGGTGGACCATATATTTTTTTGCATCAAGGATACTGGTTTGTGACTTCTTACAGTTTATCTAATCCATCTTTTGGTTTGAGGAAATTTTCTTCTTTACTACCAAAGACAGTTATATATATTTATTTGGTACTGGTAGTACTTTCGATTATCTGCTAGATGTATATTATAACTTCTAATACAAATAGGAAAAAAGGTGAACATGATTATCAACAGCTGCTAACAATTCTATTTGTACGTGCAGACTTCCAGTTAGAACTTCTGATGCAGTCACTTGTCTTTTCTCGGGTAGCTTCTCATGACACTTAAAGATATCGTATTTATTGCTGTGTGTTCATGTCATTCCTTGACTGTCATGCTGTAAAGCCTATTTGTCTTGTGGGGATAAATCGTGTCATCTACATTCAAATTTCAGTTTCAATTTGCTCTTGCAGGCCAGCCTTTCTGATGGAGAAATTGCCAAATGCTTAACTCAGGTGATGATTGGTGGACTATTTCTGCGGTATAATGCCTTCACATATATCCTTTACGTTTCTGATTAATGTTCTCATGCTGTTACTAGCTACTGACTGGCATGTAATTCGAAGCGTTGGTGATTCTTGTATACATAATCAGCTTTTGAATATTTGCACCATATCAGGTTTATGATAACTTTTGCATCTCTTGGTCCAGAAAGTCCGTGATTTTGTTCGGTGTCCCTAAGTTATATGCCTGTTGCAGATTAAACTAGAACCTTGACGGGAAAATTGTTAGGGTAAAATTCAAAGATTATCCTAGACTATCACTCCAATTGCACGGATGGATCTGTTGGCATCACTAGGAGAGGATTTTTGTTATGAAGTATTGATATTACAAATTCTTCCTTGACTTAACGGGTTTGCTTTAATGGTTTGATAGCCTAGGACATTAAACATGCACTACTTGCGTTGTGGATGGATCTTGTAATTTATTTCTAACAAATTCGTCCTTGCAATTTGAGTGCTAGTTCAAGACAAATTTTGTAATTTACCCATATTACTATTTTATTGTGCGTTATTATTTCACAGATCAAGTTACACATTTACACCTTCTACCTCTTCAATATTATAACCATAGAATTCAGTCATTTAGTACTTATTGTTGTGGAAAAAAGGGTTTGTGCTACCACTTGGAGCGCACCCACCATTCCGATCCCACAAGGGGAGGTAAATCGTGGTGTCCTAGCCGGATTTGAACTCGAGACCTTGTTGTGGAAACTCCACCCGATCTCTGCTGGGACAATTCAGCAGGGATTCATTTAGTACTTATTTTCTACATGGTTGGGCCATCTTTGCACTATAGTGATTGGCTGCAAAAACGTAGTAAAGAGAGGCGGAGGTAGTTTTTAAGTTCTTATATTGTGATATTGACATAATCTTGGCCCAAAAAAATCACCTTCTCTCTCTCTCTCTCTCTCTCTTTGCCTTTTGTGTTTTGAGTGTGCGGAAGGATGCTATTCATATCTGAGAACACTGAAAAGGAATATCATTTCGGGCACTCAAGTGTGATAGATTGGAAATTGAGCAGTGCTTGAAGTTCTACAATGAGGAGAAGCTTTTTAGTTGTTGGTACCTCTATCCTCTCTAATAAAATTACTGAAACTGGGTGCCAAAGCAAGACGGAATATCATTTTGTGCACACAATGATAAATTGAGAATCAAGACATGGTGTCACAAGCTTGATACGCCATGTGTTTAGCTATCTTCTGTAACATTTTCTTTCTGAAGATGACCCTTCTATAAATAGAATTCTAAACGTAAGGGGCAATATACTATAGGACTGCATAGAGTATGAGAATCAGAAGTCATTGTAACAGCATATAGTTACTATGCTTTCTTTTCTAATAGTTATTTTCTTATTGTTGTTAAAATAATAAACTTATAATGGATTTTAACTTTGATAAAATTCAGGGATACTTCCTCTCGCCCACCATGTGCATTAGTGCAACCATCTATGCAGGATGCTGCAGAGGAACTATTACACTTTCCCGATTTCGGTACTAATTTTATTGCAAAATGTATTGGCTATTGATATGCACACACTAGATTGCTCATCGAAAGACTGATGTCTTCCAATGTTATTTGACCAGGAAAGAATTTTTGTCCTCCAATATATCCATTAGGGGATCAACAATGGAAATCAAGTGACCATGCTCCACTCATGTCCCTCCATTGTCTTCAGTTTATGCCCTCTCCTACTCCACCATCCTTCTGTTCACAAACGGTCATCAACTGCCAGCCTCTTATGGTACTTCATTTTGCATAGTTACAATATCATTTAACATTCTTTTTGTATGAGTTCTGAAATGCCATCGTTCATTTTCAGATTCATCTTCAAGAAGAGTCCTGTCTAAGAATATCATCCTTACTAGCTGATGGAATTGTGATTAATCCTGGAGATATTTCGCTAGATTTCTCTGTGAACTCCCTTGAATTCAATGTGAAAGGACTGGATATCACTATTCCATTGGAAAACCGAAGGTCTAACTCTCCATGTGACAACTACCCTATATATGAGACCTCCTTTACTGGAGCAAGGCTTCATATTGATAACTTATTCTTTTATGAGTCACCTTCCCTGAGGCTGAAGATGCTCAATCTTGAGAAGGACCCAGCATGCTTCTGTCTATGGAAGGGGCAACCCATTGATGCCAGCCAGAAAAAATGGACAAGTGGAGCTTCTCTCCTTCGTCTGTCACTGGAAACATGTAATAACTCGAAAGGAGCTGGTGGTTCTCTTTCACACTCCTCAGAATTGTGGAGTTGTGTCGAGATTAAAGGTGCTTGCATCCAGGTTGCAATGGTAACAGCAGATGGAAGCCCTTTAATAGAAGTCCCTCCCCCAGGGGGTGTTGTTAGAGTAGGAGTTGCTTGTGAACAATATCTGTCCAACACCTCAGTTGAGCAACTATTTTTTGTGTTGGATCTCTATGCCTACTTTGGTATGGTCAGTGAGAAGATGGCCACGGTTGGAAGAAGTAAATATAAGAAAGTGGTGAAGCATGAACCTTGTGATGGAAGTCTGATCGAAAAGGTTCCTGGTGATACTGCTGTTAGCTTAGCAGTTAAGGACCTAAAGCTAAGATTTCTAGAATCTTCCTCCATGGACATTCAGGGAATGCCTCTAGTTCAATTTGTTGGGGAAGATCTGTTCATGGAAGTTACTCATAGAACCTTGGGCGGTGCCATGGCCATTTCATCAACTTTACGGTGGGACAAAGTTCAGGTGGAGTGTGCAGAGACTGAGAGAAGCTCTATAAATGCAAATGGTGTGATGCCAGATGCTACCACAGATTTTCTTCCTTTTCCAAATGGCAACCCTAAATTGAGAACTGTCTTTTGGGTGCAAAACAGAAGGAATTATCAAGCAAATGACAGTGCTGTCTCAACTCCATTTTTAAATTTACGTGTGGTGCATGTTATTCCGTATAATGCACAGGATACAGAGTGTCATAGTTTAAGTGTGTCAGCTTGCATTGCGGGCGTACGCCTTGCAGGAGGAATGAATTATGCTGAAGCTCTACTCCACCGCTTTGGAATTCTAGGACCAGATGGTGGCCCAGGGGTTGGGCTCTCCAAGGGTTTGGAGCATTTGTCTGCTGGGCCGTTGTCAAAACTTTTCAAAGCATCACCTCTACTTGTTAAGGATTTCAGGGAGAATTGTAAAAGTAAGCTGTCCATTATGCAATGGTTTTCACTTTCCAACATCCATCTATTTGACTTGTCAAAGAAGTTATCTACACTTGTGCTCTGAAAAAAAATTCCCCTTGTTTCCCCTCTCAGGTGAAAGCATGGAGGAGAAGCATAGTGGTTACTTGCACTTGGGTGCACCGGATGATGTAGATATATCACTAGAATTGAAGGACTGGTTATTTGCATTGGAGGGTGCAGAGATGGCAGAAAGATGGTGGTTCTACAATTCAGATGACTCTTACAGAGAAGAGAGGTGTTGGCACACAACTTTTCAGAGTTTTAAAGTTAAGGCAAACAGCAGCATAAATAACTCGGTGAATGGCAAAAAGAATTTGCCTGGAGCACAGAAGTATCCTGTTGAATCAGTGACGGTGGACATTTGCTTCATTGCTATAATCTTAGCTTTGTTTATTTATATATTATAGTGATGATAAAAAAAAGATTTTAAACATGCTAAAAGCAAATAAAATCGTGGATATGAATATGATGAAGATTTTTATCACATTGGGATTGTGAATAAACATCTTAATGTAAAAAAAAGTTGCTACTTGTACCCCAATTTGATCATCAATCTTTCCTTCTGCTGGAATGAATATGCTTGATGTCCAGGAGAGTACAAAGTGGTGATTAAATGGGAATATTAAACTATCGAATGTTAAGACTCCCCTGTGAGATCCTGAAAAGGTTTTGCTGCTATATTCTACGTGAGGTATAGAATTTAATTTACTTTATGTGCTTGTAGGTCGGTGTTGAAGGCTTGAAGACGTTAAAACCCCAGCAGCAGAAGGGAATTGTAGCCACAAATGGGCACAAGCACGATTCACATGGTGGGGTAGATCTTGAAGCTGACATAGTGTTATCTGAAGATGATGGTGCCAATAAGTGGGTGGTTGAAAGTTTAAAATTTTCTGCAAAACATCCGGTGATTACTTGTAACTTGCTTATACGGTGTTGATTGCTGTTTTATGTAATCAAATTTGTGTACTGATGATTGGTACCCTGTAGGTTGAGGCAATTGTAAGCAGGGATGAGCTGCAGCATGTTGCTCAACTATGCAAGTCAGAAGTTGATTCCATGGGGAGAATAACTGCTGGGGTTTTGCGTGTGTTGAAGCTAGAAGGATCAGTTGGTCAGACAGCAATGGATCAATTAAGCAACCTTGGTAAATATTTCTTTCTTTTTTCACATAAGACACAATGCAACAGAGTGTATGAGTATGTTGTACATGAAACAAAATAAGCTGAAAACAGAACAAAGTTTTTTGATTAAAAATTACTTGTGTCCATGCTTTAAATTAAGGACTGGATCAACAAAGATAATTGGTAAGCCTTTTGGGTCATTGGTGCTGTACATTTAACTATATATGGCTTCCTAGGGGAATGGAGGTCAGCTTTGTAATTGTTCTTGTCTAACTATATTTTAAAAAAGAGCAACTTAAGTTGTGATGCACACATCTTTTATAGTATAGAAGAGTAAAGTTCTCTTCCCATATTTGAGATCCTAGACTGTCATCTACCTACCTTACCTCTTCTTTGTGTGCTTTGCCTTTGCCTTTCCTTCCCTTCTCTTACCTTTTCATGCTACAATGTAACTACACTTTACCTTTTCTTACCCTTCTTTTTCTGTGCATAATATGCACTAGTCTTTGTTCCCTTTTACCTTTTTGCTTACACTCTTGCACTAGCGAAAGTATTCGCGAGATCAACCGCTCTATTCTTTGGGGCAGAGGACAGATATGCGCACATCCCACCTCTAGACCATACTTTCGAGTTTGGTTTGGTMTGGTCTGGTCTGTTAGCTACCTATATGCACTAGACACATGATTTGGAACTCATGCAACTGAAAACCTGCAGGAAGTGAAGGCTTCTACAAGATCTTTTCACAAAAGAACCTGCACAGAGATAGTAATGCTTCTAGTCCGTCTTCCGTAGCGACTGCAGATAACCAATGTTCTTCTTCGTCCTTCAATTCAACATTAACTTTACTTGAGGCTGCATTATTGGATTCACAGACAAATTGTGCAACTCTTGCCGATGAATTAAGCAGTTCTGAATCTTCCAAGCGACACCTTGATAGGGTAGAACAACTGGCTCAGAAACTAGAGAGTATGCAGAAATTGTTGTCAAAGTTGCAGACTCAAGTATGATTCCACCTTCTACACTGCGGTTGTACAATTTGGGCATAATACAGTCCCTGGTCACATAGTTGTGCATTCATTAGCTAATTAATGTATATATGTATATACCAGCACTTGTGCCAAAGTCTTGCTGGTGGGAAGTTTTGTATGAACAGTGATGAATTTGCGAGATTTATTATATAGTATATAGGCTTATAATATGCATTTGCATGCTTTAAAAACAGTCCTTCACTGTATTATGTATAAATATATTTAAGCTGTAACATAAATATTTGATGCAGCCATCAACCACTATACAAGCAAGCTTAATTTTATTGTACGTAGCAAGTAATAGAAACCATCGCCAACAGCTGTTTTTAGGCAACACAAAGTGTTTTGTCATATATCAAAGAGAAAACACAAAACAAATGTCAAGTTATTCAAGAGAGTTGTCATAAAAATGCCATGGAAAAACAAGGCGGCCTTTTTGTCTTTTATCCAACATGCACTTTTGTAGTGTAGTATATAATATAGAAGCAAGCAGTTATTAGAAGCAAAACTGGATTTGGTAGAAAATTGTGGTTTGTTATTAATATTATGGGAGGAAATAAGAATGGAATATTCAGGTATGCAGATGGGTTGGATAAGTTTTTGATGTTTTGGGGAACGTTGGGAAGCATCGGAGACGGATTGCAAGTCCCCTTGATGATGTACGTTCTTAGCGGTGTCATCAACCAATACGGAGATCCAAAAGCCATTGTTACTTGTTCAACTGTCGACAAGGTAAGTTAACATATTCCATTCCATTCCATTCCATATGCTTAATTACTTGATTACTTACCAACTAATTAAAACATACACATGCGTTTTTTCAGTATTCGCTCAGGTTGCTTTATGTTGCAATTGCAGTTGGGTTATCTGCCTTTGTTGGTACCCTCTTGTTTCATTACTAATTTTACTTCTATCCTTTAATTCCCTCTCTTATTTATATCTTATCATCTTGTGTTTTTATAGAAGGACTTTGTTGGTCAAGAACTGCAGAAAGACAAACTTCCCGAATGAGACTCCACTACCTCAAATCGGTCCTTAAACAAGATGTCGCCTTCTTCGACACCCAACAACCTGCTGCTTCCTCTACCACTTACCAAGTTGTATCAACCATCACCGCCGATTCCAACGCCATTCAAGTCACCATCGGCGAGAAGATACCAGATACTCTCGCCTACTTGTCATCCTCCTTCTTCTGCCACATTTTCGCATTTACGCTATCTTGGAGGCTTACCTTGGCTGCCCTCCCATTCTCCATAATGTTCCTTGTACCTGCCCTCGGATTCGGCAAGCTCATGATGGATGTAGGAATGCTTATGATTGCATCCTATGCTACTGCTGGTACTATTGCAGAACAAGCCATTTCCTCCATAAGAACCGTCTATTCCTACGTTGGTGAGCATCAAACCATCATTAACTTCGGCAACGCACTTCAAACCACCATGGAACTAGGAATAAAGCAAGGCTTTGCTAGAGGACTTATGTTGGGAAGCATGGGGATCATCTACGTTAGCTGGGCGTTCCAAGCTTGGGTTGGATCTCTTCTCGTCACTAAACATGATGAAAAGGGTGGTGATGTTTTCGTTGCTGGATTTAATGTGCTCATGGGAGGATTGTGAGCTCTTCTAACCACCACACCTCTCTCTCTCTCTAATATATATACATATATATATATATATATATATTGTGATTTGAACATACAACTCAAGACTCTTTTCAATCTTGCAGGAACATATTGACTGCACTCCCAAATCTCACGGCCATTGCGGAGTCAAAAGGTGCTGCTACTCGAATCAATGAGATGATCGACAGAAATCCAACTATCAACTCTGAAGATAAGAAAGGAAAGGCTCTATCATATGTAAGAGGGAAAATCGAGTTCAAAGGAATCTACTTTAGCTACCCTTCGAGGCCTGATTCCCCTATTCTACAAGGGTTGAATCTCATGATACCGGCTGGTAAGACTGTTGGTCTTGTTGGAGGTAGCGGTTCGGGCAAGTCAACAACTATGTCACTTATTCTAAGGTTTTATGATCCAATAGAGGGTGAGATTTTGTTGGATGGACACAAGATAAATAAACTTCATCTCAGATGGCTGAGATCCCAAATGGGTCTGGTGAATCAAGAGCCAATTCTGTTTGCAACTTCTATCAAAGAGAACATACTGTTTGGGAAGGAAGGAGCATCTTTTGATGATGTTGTAGCAGCAGCCAAGGATGCAAATGCACATGACTTCATTGTTAAGTTGCCAGATGGGTATGAAACCAATGTAAGATTTGAATGTTTGACCTCAAAAGCTCAAAACTTGATCTCCTTCACTTAACTGTGGAAGTTGAATTGATAATGAGGTGTTGTATTACTTACAGGTTGGGCAATTTGGAATTCAACTATCCGGAGGGCAAAAGCAGCGAGTTGCAATTGCTCGTGCACTAATTAGAGATCCTAAAATCTTGCTCCTCGATGAAGCAACAAGTGCACTTGACACAGAGTCTGAACGAGTCGTGCAGAAAGCCATTGACCAGGCCTCTGTTGGGAGAACGACTATTGTAATTGCACACCGCATGTCAACAGTTAGGAGGGCCGATATGATATATGTGATTCAGGCAGGGAAAGTAGTCGAATCAGGCTCACATGCTGAGCTGATGCAAATGAATGGCAGAAAGGATGGTGGTGGTGAGTACTTAAAAATGGTGCAGTTGCAACAATCAGCTCCAGGAAATGAAGTCATGGACATATCTAATAGTTTCCAAAGCCCCTACAGAATGTCAGTTGCAGCCAGTCCAACAAGTGTGAGATCGAGTGCACCTAGCACCCCATCGCTGAATCCATTCAGCCCAGCGTTCTCCATTACTACACCCTATTCCGTTCAATTCAACACCTCTTATGATAGTGATGAAGAAGATAATTTAAGGAAACTATCTCATTCAGCTCCTTCTCAATTTCGTTTGTTGAAGATGAATGCACCCGAGTGGGTAGCAACCCTCTGGGGATGCTTAGGAGCCATAGGCTCCGGTGCTGTTCAACCCATCAACGCATACTGTGTAGGCGGTGTTATCCATGTTTATTTTGAATCCGACAAATCCTCCATTGTAGATCATGCAAGAACCTACTCTTTCGTGTTCTTAGCTCTTGGTGTTTTCAACTTCATCTCCAGTGTCATCCAACATTACAGCTTCGCAGTGATGGGCGAGAAGCTGACCACGAGAGTACGAAAGAAACTGCTTGAGAACCTCTTGACTTTTGAGATTGGTTGGTATGATGAAGATGAGAACACAAGTGCAGCCATTTGTGCACGTTTATCATCAGAAGCTAACATGGTTCGCTCACTTGTAGGAGACCGTTTGTCATTACTAACTCAAGCATTTTTCGGGGCCGTCTTTGCTTACACGTTAGGACTAGTACTCTCATGGAGGCTGGCACTTGTGTTGATGGCTGCACAACCATTCCTCATTGGAAGTTTCTACGCTAGAAGCGTCTTAATGAAGAGCTTGTCAGAAAAATCTCACAAGGCTCAAAAGGAAGGAAGCCAACTAGCAAGTGAAGCTGTGATCAACCATAGAACAATAACCGCCTTCTCTTCTCAAAGAAGGGTGGTTAGTCTCTTCAAGGACACATTAGAAGGCCCTAAGAAGGAAAGTATCAGACAATCATATTATTCTGGGGTAGGGCTTTTTAGCTCTCAGTTTATGGCGACAGCTTCAACTGCGTTGGCATATTGGTATGGAGGTCGACTATTAACACAAGGATTAATAGCTCCAGAGAAGCTTTTTCAAGCATTTCTCGTGTTGCTGTTCACAGCATATACCATAGCTGATGCAGGGAGTATGACTAAAGATATATCAAGAGGAAGCAATGCCGTTAGTTCAGTCTTTGCAATTCTCGACAAGAAAAGTGAGATCAATCCAGATACTTCACACGGACATGATTCCATAAAAGGGAACATAAGGGGCCGTGTGGAGCTGAGAAATGTGTTATTTGCTTATCCGTCTAGACCAGATCATATGGTGTTCAAAGGACTGAACCTCAAGATAAAGCAAGGAACTTCGGTGGCACTTGTGGGGCCAAGTGGATCTGGTAAATCTACCATCATTGGGTTGATAGAGAGGTTCTATGACCCATTGAAGGGTGTGATCTGTATTGACGAACGAGACATAAAGGAGTATAACTTAAGAGCATTGAGGTCGCATATAGGTTTAGTGAGTCAAGAGCCAACTCTTTTTGCAGGTACCATCCGTGAAAACATTGCTTACGGGAAACCAAGTGCTAAAGAATCTGAGATTAGGAATGCTGCAATGCTTGCCAATGCTCATGAATTTATAAGGTACAAACTGCACTCATTGAGCCTGTTGTAGAGCAGCAATAAAAAATATTAGTATTTGAAATAGAAGCTCTAAAAGTAATTTTGGTAAAGATGTGGCTAACCTTGTACTACTCTGTGGATGGCAGTGGAATGAAAGATGGGTATGAAACATATTGTGGAGAAAGGGGTGTGCAGCTATCGGGAGGCCAGAAACAAAGAATAGCATTGTCTCGAGCAATTCTCAAGAACCCTGCTATTCTACTGTTGGATGAGGCAACCAGTGCTCTTGATACCATATCAGAAAGCTTAGTTCAAGAAGCACTGGAGAAGATGATGAAGGGACGGACATGTATTGTGGTGGCTCACCGTCTCTCCACAATACAAAACTCTGTATCCATTGCTGTAATTCAAGATGGGAAGGTGGCAGAGCAAGGGTCTCATTCTGATCTTCTATCTCTGCATGGTGGAGCATATTCGAATCTTGTGAAAATGCAGGGTGGCAACTCACCTTTCCGACATTAAAACACCATGGTCAACCAAGTTTGGTATGATATTGCACCGAAATTTGTAGATCAAACGTTTTAGATTGGGCAAAGGGAAATTCAATGAAATTTTGAGGCATAAATTGTGGGAAAATGCAAATAGGAGGAAAATAAAAGAGAGTAAGGTATTTATGCTTTGCTAAGAGGCATTTGTGGACATTTACTGGCACCATCTTTTTATCAAAGGTTACCATGTTACAGCCAATTCCTGTTTCATCACACCCTAAAGATACGTTTTTCACCTTGGTGATTATATTCATTCAAACCTATAAAATATAATGTGCAAATGTTGTAACATATAATCAATTCCAAAATATAAAAAAACATAAATAAAATCATTAACATAATACATACATATATATATATATATATATATATATGCCAAGGTTTTTGTGACCCTTTTGCATGGCGAGGTGAGTAGGGCACGGCAATATCCATTGACATGATGGAACCCAAGACTTTAAGAATTTCTTGACCATTTGTGATAATAATAGTTCCGATCCAAATCTTCAATTACAGCAACACTACCAAGCGCTGGAGATGAAATAGGTTCGTTCTAGCATAACAAAATACAGAACCGAATGCTAAACAAGTACTATCACAAACCATGAAATGCAAAAATCATTAAAGATTATGCTACTCATCATCTTTGTATGGATATTCCTCTGGAACTTGTTTAAGAAGCTTCACCTGTAACTCGAATGCATCATCGCCTCTAAGCATATCCCTAATCCATGTGATTTCAGTCTTCATTGACACCTGGAGATTTGGGTAAATTTTGTTAATAAAAATTGTCTATTAAATGCCATGAAACTGCTGATTCTTGATTTGTTTGAAAATGTTGATGGGTAAACAGATGACATTGTTGGAAAGAGGTTGAAATAGAATGTTGAAATTTTTTGTTGTTTGAATATGATTGTTCTAGTAACAAATGATTTCTTTACAAGTCATTTAGTTGGTGGATTTCTTTTATATAAATTCAACATTATTATAACAATAGACAATTACGCGCATTCAGTTTATTAAAACAAACAATCTTATTGATTAAGCACCACCTCATATCAATAAGAAGTGTATCAAACACCTCTTTTGTTAAATACCTATTTTCAAAAACAAAAATCACCACCACATGTAGATGTTTATTTGGTTCCATGAGATTTGCTTTAATTTGAATGGAAAGGGTACTCTGTTAAGACTTAACAACTTGTATTACTTCCATGTAGCATCAAATGCTGGAATTTTTGACGGATTAAAGAGTATGTCGTGTGAGAAAATTTTACCATCTCAAGAGCTCCCCTGACAACTCCACTTAAAATGTTGCAGTAATATAAGCCTTGACAGGTATCCGGAAGCTCAACAAAATCTACAAGTGGATTATCATCCAAAATGAGACTGCAACAAGTTCCCTCCGCATCCCAGTTTGTCACAGATGCAGTGACACCTAAAAACATTTTGAAGCCAACCTGTTTGAAGACGTTGATCAGAATCGATAAAGAACATCATGCACATACATCCAACAGACTAATAGCAAATACAGAAAAAAACATGTAAGGTACACATTGCTTCTATAAGCAAAACCAGGTATCTTATTAGATCTGCAGTGGAAACAAATTGATGCCTTTTCACATCAGTCGATTTTACCCTTCTCACCATAATGCATCCGCCTATGACCTCCCTCTCATATCTCCAAACAAGTTTTAAAGCATTTTCCAGCCAAAATGAGCTCCAAATGCTCAATGGTCATATACTGTTACATGACTTTCGGTAAGCTTACCAGATATGGGAAAAACATCAATACTGAAGCAATGATCATTCTATTTTATAAAAATCATAGAAACTATCCATCAATGATGATAGATTTTACCCACTGCCCACATACAGACACAGACACACACACACACCAAAAAAAGACTAGGAGAGAAGATAACTTCACCTTTGCAATGACTTCAGCTGTCTCCCTAAAATCAACACATCTTGTGACGTTAGATTTAGCAAGAAACTCGTCAATCAGCCGGATTCCAATGTTGTAACCCCTGATCACAGAAGAAAGATGAAAACATAAGAATATTGGATTTGGAGGTGCCTAACATTTGCACGATCTCGTATAATTCCTGGAAGTAGGAGCTTGAAAGTATAGATTTTTAAAACAAAGTATGTATGTATGTATGTGTATATATATACATTTGATCGAGCTGCTTATTGACTTCTTCAACCTCCTCCAGATCCGTAAGCAATTGTCGCACGATTGCCCCATACGTGAGAGTAAACAGCTCAGAATTCTGCGAACGATCAATATTCACAAATCATGATACGTATTTGCAATCTAAATACGAATTCGAAACCAATATCACATGGGTAATTAAATATAGAGAATCACCACGCGCTCAACGTTGGCAAATATAGCATCACCAGATCTTGGAACGACGGGAGCCATTGGAGGTCTAGAAAGAGGAAAAGAGGAGCGGAGCAAGAGCAAGAGCAATTACGGGAGGATGACGTAATTGTCTGCTTGGGCCGTGGGTTCCAATCCAAATACTGGTTTTGGGCTTCTTTTCTTTTTTTAACCATTGGGTTTGGTAATAGTATTTACGGGCTTGGATTGGAATGATCCCATTCCCATTCCCATTCCCATTCCCATTCCCATTCCCATTTATTATTTATTCATTAATAATTAACCATTTAATTTCAATCCATCTGATTTAATTACAATTAGATCTGATCAAACATTCGGTTTCAAATGACTTTTTTTTTTTTACCATTCTAGTTCAAAAGATTGTTGACAATTAATATCATATCAAAGTGTATTGATGATGCTTACGAGCAGGAACTAGGTTGTTTTATTTTATTATATCATTAGTCTATTTATCAACTAAACGTATGCTGCATGTGAAGTTGAAAAGGACCGAGCCATTAAAATTAGATATGGCACAACCTGGGTCCTAATTTGCATTTGTTTGGCAGATTCCGGGCTTCTACCAATCGTCGTCTCATGCGTGAAGCATCCCATCCTCCACCTTCTTCTTGTAAAATAAGAAGCCATTTGTTTCACTAGAATAAACTAACACCAAGTACATGATAATTACATTTTGTTCACTCCATTTCCTCACATAATTCAACAACTCGTAAGCTGAACATATAACCAACTGAAAAAACTTTATGTCATCCCCAGCTACACATGGCCAATCTTTGTCCAACTTCCTCGTTCCCACACGAAACGAGAGTTTAGTTGGCTTGGGTGGTATTTGAGGAGCAAAGATATATTTTAGCTGGATTGAATTTTGTTTTTAAAGATTTTGAATTTTCTATTTTTATTGAATTTGTATTTTTATATTTTAAAGATATATATTATATGTTTACTAATTTGTTGTAAGCAACAAATGAAGACATAAAGAGTTGGGTGACGTTGTATTTTTATGGTTTGATATAATGTGGTAAATTAAAGGCATGTCTTTTCTTGAGTTATCATTTACATTCATTCTTTTTCCATATAAATAAAAACAATTCCAAGTTTGACACCTCAATTTAAGAATAAATTGGTGTTATATATTTATCTTATAATTAAATATCAAAAACACACCATTCATCGTAATTTTATTTGATTTTAGACTTTATATTTAATAATTTTAATTATTAATGGCTTAATCTATATATATCTATATATATATATATTAAAGGAACAACCAATAGTATTGATGTGGCATCATGAGGATTAAGTATTGAGGTGTTGGTGAATTGTGGTTGATTTTGAGATATCCCACATTGGTGAAGAGTTGAAAGATTTGAATAAGATGAAGTGTATAAGAAAGGTGGATTGGATGCCTTTGTGTCAAATAATGGGGTTTGTCTCATAATCATGGTTGGAAATCAAATAAACCAAATGGTAGAAATTATAGTACAAAATTAATTATATTATATTATTTATATCTTCGTATTTATATAAAAGTAAAATCTCTCTCAATATATATATATATATATATATATATATATATGTGTGTGTGTGTGTGTGTGTGTATTAAAATTTACTAATTATATTTTATTTTACTTTTTCGAATTATTTGAATACTATTTGTTGATGATTTTATTAACAACTAATATATATATATTAAAGGAAGAACCAATAGTATTGAGGTGGCATCATGAGAATTGAGTATTGAGGTGTTGGTGAATTGTGGTTGAGTTTGAGATATCCAACATTGGTGAAGAGTTGAAAATTTTGAACAAAATGTAATGTATAAGAAAGGTGAATTGGATGTTTTTGCGTCAAATATGAGGTTTGGCTCATTGAGTTGTCTTTCTTTGGATGAACCTTTTGAAATCTATAACCATGGTTGGAAACCAATCAAACCAAATGGTAGAAATTATATTGCAAAATTAATTATATTATAGTATTATATCTTTATATATATATATATATATATACATATATATACACTATATATGTATATATTAAAGGAAGAACCAAAAATATTGATGTGACATTATGAGAATTGAGTATTAAGGTGGCATCATGAGAATTGAGTATTGAGGTGTTAGTGAATTGTGGTTAAGTTTGAGATATCCCACATTGGTGAAGAGTTGAAAATTTTGAACAAAATGAAGTGTATAAGAAAGGTGGATTGGATGTCTTTGTGTCAAATATGAGTTTTGCCTCATAGGGTTGTCTTTCTTTGGATGATTTTTTTGAAATCTATAACCATAGTTGGAAACCAATCAAACCAAATGGTAGAAATTATAGTGCAAATTTAATTATATTATATTATATTATATTATATTATATTATATTATATTATATTATATTATATTATATTATATTATATATATATATATATATTATATATAAAACCATGGTTGGAAACCAATCAAACCAAATGATGTATTATTGTTGAGTTTTAGTTGTCCCACATTGATTAAAAGTTAAAAAATTTGAACAAATTAAAGTATATAAGAAAGGTGTATGACTATCTTTGAAATCTATATCATGTTTGCAAATATAAAACCAACTAAATGGTAAAAATCATAGTTCAAATATAAAAGTGAAACAATGATGATAATTTGACAACATGAGGTAATTATTTATCTGTCGTCTTGATGTTAATACTATCACGATTTGACACACCCCTTTAATTACAATTCAAATATTATAAAATATTACGATAAAGTGTAATATTTTTGTTAGTTTAATATCTGATATGTGGGTCATCGACCCACTTGATATTAATTTTATTTTTTATGAGGGAAAATCTATTATCTTAGCTTGATGATGTGGTTCTTCATGCATCGTATTGGACTTCCACTATTGTTGCTACAACTTACGCACTCCTCTAATTTTCACTATAAATATTATAGAACGTTTTTTTTTTCGTAACTTCAAAAATGAGATTTCAATTAAATTTGTTATAAAGTTAAAATCGTGATTTTGTCACCTTAGATAAGATTTCAATTAAAACTGTGACTTCTTATTAGACAAACTACTAACATTAGTCAAACATTTGTAGAATACTTTGCAACACGATTCTTAAACATAGTTAGATAACTTAAATTAGCATATGGTTCTCAGATTGTTGTCAAATCCTCTTAAAAACTTTTAATGTACTCACATTTGTCTAAAAAATTTTAGAAGAGTACTTCAAATTTAGTCTATAACATTCCTTTTGAAGATGATATTTCACTACCGCGTAACGCGCGGTTAGAAAACAAGAGTATTGAGGTGGCATCATGAGGATTAAGTATTGAGGTATTGGTAAATTGTGGTTGATTTTGAGATATCCCACATTGGTGAAAAGTTGAAAGATTTGAATAAGATGAAGTGTATAAAAAAGGTGGATTGGATGTCTTTGTGTCAAATAATGGGGTTTGCCTCATAGAGTTGTCTTTCTTTTGATGATCCTCTTTGAAATCTATAACCATGGTTGGAAACCAAAGAAATTAAATGGTATAAGTTATAGTACAAAATTAATTATATTATATTATTATATCTTTATATTTATATAGAAGTAAAATCTCTCTCTCAAAATATATATATATACATATATATGTGTGTGTGTGTGTGTGCGTATTACAATTTCACTAATTGTATTTTATTTAACTTTTTCGAATTATTTGAATACTATTTGTTGATGATTTTATTAACAACTAATATATATTTATATAAACAATCTTCAGATCATTAATCAAAGTATTCATACTACCGCGCAACGCGCGGTTCCCATACTAGTTATAAAGAAAGAAATGTTTGGACCCATCCAACACTACTCGTGTCTGAATATCAAATCCACTCCGTAGCATCTTCATGTATCTCATCTTAATATACATCCAAAGGTGTGGATTATTTTCCTCTAATCCCAACGGGTAATGCATTTTGATATTATATTTATATGTATGTATGTTTAGTAAACATTTTAGGGAAAAGTCCAAAAAAACTCAATGGACTTTATTGTTTGGAATGATTAAGTCTTTAGACAATTTTTTGGAACAAATAAATCCTTGGACATTCTAAAACCTGTTAAATAAGTCCTTGGACTTTACAAAACTTGTTAAATAAGTCCTTGGACTTTCTAAAATATGTTAAATACATTTTGTTAGTGAAAAAGGTACGAAAAAACAATGGATTTTCATATTTTGAACGATCAAGTTCATAAATATTTTTTGAACAAAAAAAGTACTTACATTAAAAAAAAAAACAAATATACCATTTTCATTACTATTCGTAAAATATACAAAAGTTGTATCCAAAATCTGCATACAAATTTTGGGCATAATTTTACCAAAAGTTAAACCAAAATATATACCAAAAGTTGAACCAAAGTATGTAACAAAAGTTGCACAAAGAAAATACTAACAATTGCGCCAAATATACCAAAAGTTGCGCCAAAAAATACCAACAATTGCGCCAAATATACCAAAAGTTGCGCCAAAATATATCAAAAGTTGCGCTAAAATATACCAAAGTAATGCTTAATCTATGTCAAGGTCATGGTATGAACTATTCTTCATTTGCATTATTAAATTCTGGTGGAAATATAGTCATTTGACTTTCTTGTAACCCTTCTTGATGTCTAACAACATCATCACTTTCATGATGTTCTTCATCACCAACAGTAGTATCATCTTCATCATGGTCTTCATCGTTAACAACAACCTCTCTTGAAATTGAATACGGTAGGATGCCTTCGGGCCATGCTGGTTGTGGCACACCTGAAGATGTCTTTAATGATAAAAATAAAGTGTAAGCAATAGTCATAAAAAATGTTACTTGAATATGAAAAAACAAATAATGACTTACCCCAATCATTGTTTCTCCCGTGACTGGATTATAAGAAACCCCTACATATGATGGTATCTTCCCACCTCTATTGCCTCTTCCACCTATATTGCCTCTTCCACCTCTATTGGCTCTTCTTGTTGTAGTCGGTTTTGGAATGTTGAGTCTTGGTCTACCTCTATTGCCTTTTTCACCTCTATTGCCTCTTCCACCTCTATTGGCTCTTCTTGTTGTAGTCGGTTTTGGAATGTTGAGTCTTGGTCTACCTTTTGGCTTAACAAGTTTAGGTGGTGGGTTCTTCTTTTCATTCTTACAAGTTCTAGCATTATGTCCCGTTTCCAAGCAATTGCTACATGTTATTGCCTTCCCAGATTGAGTCACTCTTGTACTTTGGCTCGCAGATTCTGATCTTTTTCTTTTGATGGATGGTCTACAAGGCATTCTTCTTTCCTTAGGTGGGTTTGGTTTGGTGTAAGGTGTTGGAGTCCACATGTTGCTCCCATTCAATGGTCTTAGGGTGCGTTTGGTTTGCAGGAATGTTTATGAGGGATTTGGATTCCCATGAAGGATTTGGATTCCATGGGATTTGGATTCCCAGGATTTAAAATCCATTCCCGTGTTTGGTTTGCAGGATTTGGATTTGGATAAGCATCATCCATAAGCACACCAAGAAACAGATMTTCATTGAAGGGTGAACTAGGGTATATAGTGAAGACAACTAAAGTATTACGCAATCATCGAACTGTATGTATGGCAAAGTTATCACCACCATTACACTAGAATTTTCAAMCTAATCTGTCAAAAGTGAAGGATTTTACCTAATCTGTGTTCAAAGTTTAGACAGAAATCGAAAAGGGGAAAAGGGGAAAAACCTGTTGAGTGATGGGAGACGGCGACGGAGACGGTGGGCGACGGAGACGGTGAGCGACAACCACCGACGGAGACGATGATCGACGACGGTGAGCAATCGATGGAGGAGCGATGTAAGCTGTGGGAGAAGATGGAGACGAGATCGACGATGGTGAGCAATCAATGGAGGAGTGATAAGCTGTGGGAGAAGATGGAGAAGATAGAGACAAGAAGATGGAGAAGATGAAATCCCACGGGGATGGGATTTTAAAATCCCATGTATTTTCAAAGGATTTTGAAATCCATAGTTCACGGGATTTTAAATGAATCCTTGGATATGAAATCCTACCATTCCTACAAACCAAACACATGATTGGAATGGATTTCAAATCCAAATCCCCCCAATTCCATTCCAATCCCGCAAACCAAACGCATAGTATTCTCATAAGCCATTTTGAAGAGATCCTTAGTAAACCATTTACTAACATAATCCTCTGGATCCTTATTGATAAAGTGTATGGCAACAATGGAATGCACACAAGGAATGTCTGATATGTCCCACAATCTACAACTATATTTTCTAGCATCTATGTAACGCCCCCAGAACCCCGTAGCAAGATATTGTCCGCTTTGACTAACCCGCACCTAACCGGTCACGGTAGCCGCACGGTTTTCTCCTGGCATG